TAAGAATTTCAGGTTCTGTTTATATTACTCTTCATGAACAATTAAAAAGATTTTAGAAGACAGAAAAAACTGTCAGAAGAGCATTTATATTTAAAAAAGGAACTACTATATATAACTCTTTATTAGAAATGTATTTCAAGTTAACCTCAAGTGGCTATTCCAAAAATACATGTAAAAGCTACATTTCACACTGTGCTATTGTTTTCCTCCTTGAAAAACATAATCAAAAATATGACAACCACTTAAAAATAAAGAAACTTTTAATAATCAACACGATTATTAGAGAATTACCGATAAATGTCAAAATTATTCTAATCACAACTTACGTAACTCTAAACACTGATCTGTTAACACAAGCAACTTTTCAGGCAATTTGATTGATATCACAATTAGTTTAATATACTTTCCTAAAATTCAATGTTATACTTACAATTTTTGGGAATGTAAGGCTTCTTCCCAGCTCTTGCAGCTTCCATAATTTCATTTCTCAGTTGTTGTTTTTCAGCTTCTTTCTTTTCTTCCATCTTCTTGGCCTTTTCTTGATTTTTCTAAGCAAATTGAAGGTATAAAATTTCATACATACAAATATATATATATATCATTAAACAAAACCAAATTCCCCCAAAACTACTTTATTGAACAATATTAAGCATTTTAAGTTTATGCACAATTATATTATTTATGTTTACACAATTAAAAACATGAAAAAGGCTTCCAAAACAAGACCTTACTTAAAATCAGGGTCTGGAAAATAAAACTACACTGGTGTGCAAAAATTAAGGATGAAGTCGAAACTTAGCGTATCGCGTGAGCAGAGCAGAGTGGTATAAGACCAATCAGGAGATTAAGAGGTGATGTTGCTCGCCATGCGCAGATATGCAGGTAGGTACGGGGAGTGTTGGTCGTATAAAGCATGTTGTCGGTGTAGATCAGTATTTCTGGCAAAGAGATTGCACGTCGATAGCAGTTTAAATCAACCGAGTGCTCTCAGCAAGAATGGCGAATAATCAATCGTTTGACGACATCGGATTTTTACCGAGGGGAATCATTGGAAGGGAGGAAGGCCGCAGGTGAAAGTGTGGCTCAGAGTTCGGAATTGCTCACAGCATCGTTTCAGGACTTTGGAGACAATCAAACTACGGAAAGTTTTGGGGGTGTATTGGTTTGTCCAGAGGAACCCACACGCGATGACCGGTATATTGCCTTACAGGCCAGAAGAAACAGGAGGCAGACAGCGGGAGAAATCGCTAGACCCAGGACACAGGGACGGATGACCGATATCGCATTTTCCGTAGCCAGAAGACTGCACGGTGGTGGTCTGTTGCCGAGCCTGTCGGTGTGGTGTTTAAACGCCCTGCCCCCTCGAAAGAAGGCGTTCTCTGTGGTGCCGGGAACACCGGAATTGGAGAAATGAAGGGGACGAAGTACTCTTTACAGATGAGAGCAGATTCAGTATGAGTAGCGATTCTCATCGATCTCATCTGAGAAGGGGAAGCCGCAATTCCCTTGAACATATTGAAAGGGACAGGGATGGGTGCGGGTTTCTCGTTTGGGGAGGCATCATATTGGTAGTCGGACAAACCTTCACATCTTCGACGCAGGTGTCGTCAACGTGACCCGTTATTGTAACGAGATTCTTGTTCCATATGTGCCTTTTTTATGGTCCGCGTTCCTTTTCATGGACGACAACACCATATCACAAGTCCTGCCAAACAGCTCTTAGAGAGGAGGATATTGAACGTATGGATTGGTTGGCATATTCCGGATATCTCCCAGAGCTGTATGGGCGTTGGCAGGTGCAACTGGCACCTAAGACCGATTGCGATTCAGGAAGCTGACGGGCAGCAAGCCTCAGCATCCTCAACCTCACACCCTCATTCTCAGCATGGCAGACAGATGAAACCTGCCTAGCAGTCAGGGGAGATCATCTCCCCATAAAGACTGATTTTTTTGTGGACACCCATTTTCGGGAGTAATTTATAATTACTTTTTAATTTTTTTTTCTTTTTCTCTTTGTTTTTGCTTACCCTTTAATTGGGGTATTTTCTTACGGTATTAAGTGTTGATTTGGAAAGCTTTTTTACAAGTTAATGAAAAAAGTCTCGTCCTAATTTTTTCACACCAGTTGTAATTAAATTATCAAAATTTTATTTATTATTCACTTATTTTACATTTGCTTACAATTGCAAAATTTATAAATTTTAAATAAAATTCTAAGATTTCAGATGCCATATAACTCCTTTTCTTTCTTATCTTTTGGCTCTCAATAGATTTTAGGCTGTTAAACATACTACTGCATCACTACACAGTTAAAATATACAATTTTATCATTTATTCTAATCTAGAAAATTAAAAAAAAAGTTATTAACTAATGGCAACAAATTAGCGCTGAAAAAGTGAAGAATGGATTTAAAATAGTGTGTTTCAAATGTGATTCATAAGTAAACGAATTGGTATGGAATAAATATACAGAAAAGGATTGCTAATCTAATTACACATAGAGCATCTAAAAATTTATACAAGCATTAAATGTATAGAAATAATAATTAAAATATCACAAAAGAATAAATGTTGAAGATATTACAGTAAGAAGAATTAGCATAAGTTGCATAAATTTGTAAGACTAGATTTTAAGGTTAAATAGAGCTTTCATGTTCAGCTGAAACAGTGAAAATGACAAAGCATACACTTCATGATAAATAATAGACAAAACATTTGAGAAAATTCTAGCTATGAATAGGAATAAAGCTACCGGCACCATCAAAACCTACACGTAACACGAAGTAAAATCCTGCAAGAAGAATCAACTGGCAAAGTATGACAAACAAAACACACAGAAATCAGAAAATAAACAGCTCATTTGAAACCAATTTAATATAAATTAAAACAACACAGTGAAGAACAAATGTTGAAAATATTACAGCTAGAATCAGCCAAAGTAGCATAAATTTGTAAAACTAGTTTCAAAGATTAACTAGAATCTTCTTTAGCTGCAGAAGTAAAAATGATGATGAAGAAGCACATGCTCATGTGATAGGAATCATTAATGATATATGCATACTAAACAACATGCCAAGCATCACTGCTAATCATAGTTAACTCCAATTTATATTTTTTCCATTTTTAAGATTCAAATGATACCTATACTAAAGAAAATTTAAATAAAATAAAACTCAAGGGGGGTAAGAAATGATTTTTAATTGTAAAATTTATCCTGGGGGGGGGAAGAATATAATATTATCATAGCTAACTTTTACATATGAAAAACCAAGAACATTGTGCAGTGACATAATCTGAAAAGGAATCCAAATTACCAAATTAAAATTAAGACATTCTATAATAATAATACTGTACGTTCCGTTGTTTACTAGTGGATTGTAATGGAGAAAACTCTGGCTTCGGATACGAATCTCAAGAACTTTCGCAACATTAGAACTCCAATAATTCACAGCAACCTAAAAGCCCCAAAATAAAGCTTAAAAACCCTAACAAATTTGCATCTATGCTGCTTCTCAGTACAAAGACAGAAATACAATTTGCATAACATCAAACAAATACTGATATAAATTATATTAACTTAATATTTAATTTCCTCTATGTCTTCTATTCAGAAAAAAATTTGAACTAGCACAATTTTAGGTTTTATTGAGAGATGATGATGTTACTACCCTTTTTTCCAGTACTTACCAATTATTTGCACCCTCTCTGAAAAGTCGCAAACTCATTGCTGACCTCAAACAGAATTCGTGAAATCATTGCAAAATTTAAAGAGAAATGTTTGTTTGATTATCTTTACTTCTATTTTGATAATGCATCAAATGCTGTATACAGTTTTATAATTTTCCCCCCTACAGAAGAATTTTTTTTCTCAATATTGATCTCATCAACAAAGCTATCTGTTTTCTCTATTAAAAAAAAAAAAAAAAAAAAAAATCAAAGAATTGCACAAAGTTGGCTTCATGCATAATTTAAGCACTAAAATCCCAAAACAAGAAGGAAAAAAAACCATATGATGCCTTTTACGCGAGCTTACATGCTGTACATGCAGAAAGCTAAGTCGTATACTTTGCTGATGAGGACAAAAATTGCAGCATGCAGTCCACTGCTATGCTAAAACACAGAAATTTCTATAGGAGGAATCATAATCTGCAGCCACAGTGGTGAACATGCCCAAAGAAATGGGAAACCATCTGGAGGATGATAGGTGCATACCAAAGTTGTCACATAAATACTTTTTGGAAACTTCCCACATTAATACATTTTGTCGACATGGTATTAGAGCAGTCAATAAATAACGAGTCAGAGGCAATTTCACAGTAAGTATTTAATAAAACTGAAAAGTATTGTCCATAGGCATTTAGTCATTTATCCCATTGTGGCACCAGTCACATAATGGCGTACTCGTAGAAATCCTTTGGTTGCTGTTTGAACTAATTTTGCACATATTCCTTGACTTCATCATCCATTTTTGAGATTGGTGTCTCCACAGTGCTTTTCTGAATTCACCGAAGATGTGGAAGTCACATGGGACAGATTTGGGCTATGGGGGGGGTGGAAGGCTCAGGACTTCTCACCTGACTTCTGCAGACATTCCTTTGTTGCGTTGGCTGTGTGTGGCCTAGCATTGTCATGCAACAGGATGACACGACGAGAAAGTTTACTGCGATGTTTCGAATTGATTGCATTCTTGAATTTCAATAAGGTTTTACAATACCGCTGAGCATTGACCCTAGCTCCATAGTCCAGGAAATCGACGATAAGCGGTCCCTTATGATCGAAAAAGAAAAAAGGCAGTACCTTGCCAGAACTAGTATGGAGGGTCTTGATTTTTTTGGGTGGAGAGGAATCTGTGTGCTTCTACTGAAGACTTTGCTGTTTTGACTTGGGCTGAAAGTGGTGGCACCAACTTTCATTACCGGTAAAATTGCTGAAAGAAATTCATCCCCATTATTATTGAAAAGCTGCAGTGCTTGCAGAGACATGGTCATGCAACATCCCTCTTATTCCGGTGTCAAACGATGCGGGACCCATTGCGGTACTTTACGGAACTTCAAGCTGTTGTGAGCCATACCATGACTAAGCCCTACTGATACAGAAATATTGCCTACTCTTACATGATGGTTTTTCTTTATGAGCTCATCCACTTTTGCAACATGCTCTTCTGTGACACACTTCAGTGCTCCACTCCGCGGGTCATCACCAATCAATAAGTGTCCTTCCCGAAAGTGCTTGTGCCACTCCTGAACTCTTGCCCATGACATACAGTACTTCCCATAGATCCTTTTCATTTGTCTATGAATTTCACACCCTTCTACATCTTCTGCGGTCAAAAAATGCACAATGCCATGCTGCTCTGCTTTGGATACCTTCATTCTGCATAGCTTTCAAAAACAAAATGACTGGACTTGGCTGATGCTTGGTTATCGTCCTTTTCTCACTCTCAGACAAGTAATGGCATCTGATGAGAGAAACAAGCATGAATGATTAGGCCACACCAACTCTCCATTTCCAACCCATCTGCACTTTTCTACATACCATACTTTTTGTGCAATATTCACTGACTCCTTATTTATTGACTGGCCCTCATACATCGCTTCATCAATACTTTTTACAGCCTTTCAGTAAGCGGGAAAGTCATCAGAAAGTACCCTTTTTTTTAGAATATACTATCATAATTAAATTAAGGATCAACAATTCTTCTAAACTACATTTAAAAGAAATATTTTAAATTCAAATATATTAAATACCAGAAGATTTAACAAAAAGCTTGGGGATGATATAAAAAATGAAAGTTTTACAAGACTGGTAGAGTTAGCAGCTCTGTATTAGACATATAATAATAATAAATGAAGAAAATCAGCTATTAAAATGAAATTCTAAAAGAATATTTATTGACTAACAAAACAGCAAAAGAACCCAGTATGCCAAATTTTGTTGGAAATAATTTCAAGCATCAATTCTTTTTTTAGATTTTATTGAGAATAACACACACATATACATATAGTATTTTAATTGTGTAGGGGGAATCCGGTAGAGTAGCTTGCATTTGTAATGGCTGAGGGGTGAATGCATACAAACAAAGGTAACAAAACTGGATTTTTACAAATCACCAATCTTTATTTTCTCACATATTAAATCCTTTCTCAGTAGATAAAATACTTTTAGATCATAAGCAATTACAATAATTTTTATATACACAGGTAAAGGGATACGATGTCATTTTAGGCAAGTGGGCAGATGTTGGAAGGCAGAAGCTAGGAAAAGAAATGATGTAATTGTTTTGCAAAGCAGTATTGAATAGATGCATAAGTATATCTAAGCTGCTATTAGTTAATTTTAGGTTGTTATGTAACATGGAAACATCTCGAATTCTGGAGAATAGATGAATTTAGGGGGGAGAACACCAAATTTAAAACAGTTAATTTTGAGGACACCAATTGTTTCTTAAAGCAGCCATCGTATTTTGTTATATCTTGCATCTATATATATATATGAAATAATAGAACTAAAACAAAATGAGCCTAAGAGAAATTGTGAAATCTAGCCTAAGAGAACAAAAAGAAAATCATTTACACATAATAATAAAATTAAGTACCATAACAACTATTAAAATTTAGCTAAAAATTGCCAAAAATAAGTAACTGCTAACTATCAGTAAATTCAAATTAACTTCAGTTGAAAGATTACTTTTGGAGTGAACTGATGGTACAATCACTGCAGTTTTCATTTTTAAGACACAATAAGTAATTCGATTGTTATAAAAACATTGATACAAAAAATATGCAACAAATTCCTTCATCATTAAAAAGAAAGTTTAAATCAAATTCTAAAAAAATGTCTGAAGTACCACACAGATAGTCCTTCAAGAACCTAGACACTAAATTTTAGAATTCTTAATTTTATCATATCTACACTATTCTATATATAAACTATTTCGTCTATTATTACAGATATATATGAAAAGAAAACACATTTGAAAAAATGATTTTGGGAGTTTTTTTGGTCACTGGTGTCAGAGTGACTTGCAAGTTACCCTGTATTGAGTGGTGCAGGTAGCATATCAGAGTCCTTGTAATGGTTGGGTAAATTTGTGAAGTTGCGTACTCCTACTGCATTTTAAACTTAAACATATTTATTATTATTACTAGAACTCTTTAAACACATATATATAATTCATAGATAGCATAGAGAAGTATTTAAATTAATTATAGTCCTCATAGTGTGAGGAGTCTGCTACAAAGTTCTCTGTAGTTGAGGCTCAAGAGCATCGTAGGTCTCTCTTATAGAGAGTTCGAGAGTGTTCTCTTTATGTTACTCCGATGGCGAAAATCTTCAGACTGAATTAGCCACATCTGCTTAATTTTACAGAAGCATTTTACATCCTCTGATTCGCTTTATCTGGAATGATATCAGAGGAAAACTTAGGTCATTGGTTCATCACCCCTCCTGAAATCAAGAGAATTTGATGACAGACACAGTGCAGAACGTTAAAATCTCCTAACACTAGGCATGATGTCATGTCTCGGTGATGTCAAAAACATGTCATGCGACACCTCGTAAAGGCTGGGAGCAGTGAAATGCAGGGACTGCACACACAATTTACTTATCTCTGTGAGGTCCACCGCAATTTATTATTTCATCACTTTCTAAAATGAATCAAATTCATTATTGTAAAAATGAATATTAGTCCAAGAACCAAAAACTGAATACTTTTAGTTATTAACTTAAATTTTCAAAAGTATGTAATAGAAAACTGCAGAAGAAAATTCTATTTTTATATCATTAAAAATTTAGTAATTCAAAGTCTTCAAAATAATTTTATTTCAACATAATATAAAAATATGTACTACAATAATATGAAATAATATGGCACCTATGCATTGTCCTGTCGACCGCAAAATTGTTATCAAGCAGTGCAATTTAACACTAGTTATGGATAGTTGTGATATTACAATACACTCACATTTGCAATTTTGCTGGGCATAAACTGATCAATTCCCAAAAAGCTATCTTTTGTTTCATTAACAAGGATTTAAAATTAGCTATGTAGAGTCATTAGGTTAACTGGAAGCAGAAAAGATGAAAAATATGCAACCGCCTTCGCCGGGAATCGAACCACGGACCTCTGGAATACCGGCCCAGCATGCTACCGTAACACCACGAAGGTACGCCAGGGAAGTGGGAGAAATACCTTATAACTATTATTGTTATGTTATTAATGCCCTTGCATTTTAAGAAAATGATTCAAATTTGGAGCCTGACTTCTACAACACAGCAAGCAGTAGATGATTTTCAAAGTTATGGGATCAAAAACAAATGCATATTGATGGTCAGTACTGTCTACTGAATACAGGTGAGAAAACAGTAAAAGTTACATTAATAGTTTACGACTACTGAATACAGGTGAGAAAACAGTAAAAGTTACATTAATAGTTTACGAATAACTACCTGCCAGAACTTTGTACTCATAGTACTCTAAACAGAGCTTCTGGTAAAATCAGACGGCCTAACAAAATAATAGAAATCAATGGAAGACATTTTATGAAGTGCAGAAACAAAGTGGATCAAACACTGGTTATTTTTAAATAAAGAGGCATTCATTCCCTTATAATTCCGTACAAAAACTTGATACAAATTTGACTTGATCTTTGCCAGCTTTCACAATCAAAGGGATAATATGTAAATACTTATAATATATATGAATTCAATATGTTAAAATAACTTACAATCCTTTGTAATAAATACAAGATTTGCTTTTTCCTCTTGTGGTCATCACCTACATTTTCCAATTCCTTTTGAAGCTCCTGTAAATTCCAAAATAAAAACATAAATATAGCAAAAAAACTTATACCTTGTGACATTTTCATATGTCTGCATTATACACTAATTTTAAATTATGTTTTCTTTTTAAATAACCAATCAAATATCAGCACTGATTATTTTTATCTATTTTATGTAACCTCTAAAAAATTCCATTGATCCTAAACAGAGAAAAAACAGTATTCAAATCATTAAATTTAAATGTTGCATACTGCAGTAATGAATATTGAAAAATCCTGATTTCAGCATCGTATTTTCATTCTCAAAGCTTCCAAATAAACTATTCTAACTACTACAAAAAATTAATATGACCTGCATTATTAATAGATTATATCTTGAAAGATGATACATGATATTAAAGTATGTTATTTAATTTCAAGCCCAACAGTTTTACATTATTTATCTGTCATTCTTCATTCAGACTCAATTCCTTAAAATCACTATTTATGCTATTTTCTTTTTTCAGAAGACTAACTATATAAGGAAAGAGATAAAAAAAAATACAGAGAGATTTTTTTTTAAATCTGTAATTTCTTTTTTCATTAAAGATTTTTGTAGTCCATATGCAATTAACATTGATAGAAACCACAGAATCGTATCATACTTCATATTTTGTAGGCTAACTTATTTTTACAGGGCATCAGAGATGAATGATATAAAAAAATTTAGGTCCTTCTTTGAGTATCTGTACCCTCTCCCTCTAAAAAAGCATTATTCAGGAGGCATGGTTCAAATAGTTATGTGATAATTCCTGAAATCGGCAAAATGTATTTATGTAGCAACTCAGGTACACATGCCTCTTCACAGTCCTCCAAATTCAATGATCATTTTTGTGGTAAATGTTTCTCTTTCATTAAAATAATTTTTTCCCCTTGTATCAAATTATAATGTGGCTTTTGCTAGCTAATGAAGAAGAAAACATTGCATTTCTTCAGAAATATGGCATTTTGCCCATGGTCAAGAATGCAAAAATTCACATTCCATAAAGATGCACTTCTTGAATGATCAAATTTTATGCAAATGTAATGTAAAGTTGCAAGCAAGGTGTTAGAATAGAGAATAGCAAATTTGTGCAATTCTCTGACTTTTTTTAATCAAAAATTTATCTGTGAACAAGGGAAGAACAATGCTATATATATGTAAATGGTTTTTTTTTTTTTTTTTTTAATGTATTTTCCGGATTGGCAACAACAGTTTTTTTTTTTTTTTTTTTTAACCGTAATGTTTAACGGCAATGTTTCTGAATAAAGCAATTATCTAACAATTAATGTTTGAATGGTAATGTTTGACGGAAATGCTTTGAATAAAGGGAGTAATTGCTAACACTTCAGAAGTGGGATTAACTAGAATTATTACCTAGGATTTAACAACATATTGCCTCAATGTACTTTAAGCCCTAAACTGAATGCGGAAGCTCACCAAAACTGAAGGTAGAAAGGTACCTGCATTTATAAACTGTTTATGTTATGTTTAAGTATTAAACAGGAAGAACTGAAATATAATTATTGTATTATTATTTGAAAATTGAAGTCTAAGATGGCTTATTTGGCAA